CAAACGTGATATTCTGCTTTTCATTTTCTCTGTACTGCTTCTTCTTTTCAGTGTTGCTGAAATAAAAATGATTCTGCTCATGTAGCTGGACATGCTTAGAATATAGGACAGGTTTTGTTACATTTCTCTTCCTGTAGATAGAATCTATTTTAGCTTGAATCAAGGGTCACAGAATAAAACTAATCAAGAAAATAGAGGAACACACGTCTCTTTCCTCTGGTGGTAGAAGTTGAATTCCCTTCTGGCTTTGCACCCATCTCTCTACTCGATCCCTTCTCCCCAGGCACTTTTGTGGGCTCAGCCTCTGCCCTCCTCTTCTCTCACAGTACTGAAAGCCAGGTGCATTTATCCTTCCTTGGTTTCAACAGCCACCTCTGTATTGACGCTTCCCAATTCTATACCTCTGGACAAGAATTGGCTCCTAATAGTCAGACCCATATATTCAAACCCTCTTAACTTCTCCATTTGACTTTTTGCGGATGGCTCAATGTGAAATCATTTTCTCACTCAAACCTATTTCTGTATTCCCATCTCACCCAACAGCAATATTTTTCACCTACTTACTCATCCCAGAAGCTAGAAAGTATCATTGATTCTTCACTCTCCATTAACTTTCACCATTTTTCAATTGTCAAGTCCCGTCAATACTGTCTTCTTAATTTCCTGTAAATCTGTCCTTTACTTTCTATCTGCATTGTAACCACTGACTCATTTCAGACAACTGGCACATCTCACCTGAAATACTGTATAGCTCAGTAATGGTTTCCCTTCTTCCATTTTTGTCCTCTCCATCAATTATCTACATTGTTAGCGAAGTGATCTTTCCAAACGTGAATTGGGCTGTGCCACTTCTCTACTTAAAATCCTCAAAAGACTGATCATTGTCTTCAAGTTAAAACTCAAACTTGTTGGCATGGTATGCAAGGCCCACGCAGATGTGGTCCTTAGGAAATGAAAGCAGCTCCTGGCTGCAATCTTTCAGCCAACGTTTCTCCCTCCATCCCTCCCTGCCCCTTCCCCACTGAAACATATCCTGAGCTCAAACTACAGGATACTTTGGCATTTGCTGGAAGCTGCCATTTCTTTCTTATATCTATTATTTGTACTTTTGTATTTGCTGCTGCTTCTGCCTCCATTTCACTCACTTTTTTTTTTATTCTTCAATGACATCATCTCTTACAAAAGGCCTTCCTTGATTTTCCAAATCTAGAATTAGATGTCTCTTTGTTCTCCTTAGCAACATAGCAGCCAGTGATAGTCACTAGTGTGACCTATCACATTCTAGTGTATTCCTGGATGGTCTGTCCTCCCTCACGAACTCTCCCTGCCCAACTAGTCTATGAGGAGAAGTTCAATTCACAGTAACTACTTAGCAAATCTTTGATAAAAAAATGATTGAACGCATGTCTCCTTCACTTAGAGATGTTGTTATGTACCTTAATGATGCTATCTGAATAGACGTGGATTATCCTCTTTTTCTGCCTACGCAGATGAAGCATCTATAAAGTGGCTAGCCTAACATATAGAAAATTATTTTTTCTTTTTAAAATTCATTTTCAAATAGCTTTTACAGGGCTATTAGACATAATCAATGGCAGTTTTGAGAATTTTGTTGTAAAAATGATATATGTAACATGCACATACTTTTGAATTTGGGGTACAGAAACCTCATCAGACTCTATGATCGCAGCTATGTTCGTTATTCACAAGACAGTTATCAACAAGTTGTTTTTTTTAATAAAATCATTCTTCCCACAAGGGAATGTATCTTTTCTTCTTATATTTAAATATATGTGATCAATCAATATACTGGCAATCAGAGAGTTTCTATTAATTTATATTAAAAATATTTTCTATTTTTCTATTAAAAAAGGGAAGAAAGTAGATAATATTCCCAAATATGTTTTCTAGAAAAGAAAATCTTAAACTGGGGACTCAGTCTTCTCCCTAATCCTAATTCTTGAGACTATCTCTCCATCAGCATAATAATTCAGATGATGTTGGGGGAGCACTCTTTGGTGGGTGTGGGACCAAACTAGTCTATTGCTCTGATTGACACTAGATGTTGATTAGCGGGCTTAAGCACACCAGTGAGAAAGGTGCAAAATCGACTGGACAGAACCAAGTTTAAAATTGTTTCTAAAAATCGAATCCGATGTTGTAGTAGAATGAAAGCTTTCACACACACAAGGGGAACAGAGTCTATGAAATAGGAGATTAAAAGAGCACAGTGAAAAAAAGAAACCCAGATAAAAAGAGCGAAAGAGGAAATAAACTTTAACAGCAGGATATGACATGACATGACATGAAAAAAAAAAAAGAATAAAAGTGTAGAAGGACAGGTGGGAGAACTAAATGCCAAAATTAATAACAAAAAAATAAAAGTCTCTGGGGCTGGTCCCGTGGCCGAGTGGTTAAGTTCGCGCGCTCTGCTGCAGGAGGCCCAGTGTTTCGTTGGTTCGAATCCTGGGCGCAGACATGGCACTGCTCATCAAACCACGCTGAGGCAGCGTCCCACATGCCACAACTAGAAGGACTCACAATGAAGAATATACAACTATGTACCGGGGGGCTTTGGGGAGAAAAAGGAAAAAATAAAATCTTTTAAAAAAAATAAAATAAAATAAAAGTCTGCCTATAGAAAACTGAAAAGAAAATATAAAGGACAGTAAAAGAATCTTCCAATTATAAATTTAAGTTTCAATGACCAAAAATTGCTATATCTTAAGAATGTCAGGATAGTATTTCTTATATTGCATTATTCTTTTAACTTTCTTTAATTTAGAAGTATATATAAGATTCTTCACTTTGACAATTTTAAGGCCTACAGCAAATCAGTGTATCGTTAACGTGGCGTCTCCAGCTGGTTGCGCAGGCACATTAAGGTACTTGATATCATTTGAATCCGTAACAGCTGGGCTGTAACACTTTCAGCTGAGCAGGATTTTACCTATTTAACCTTTTTTCTTTTTAATGTACTTGCTTCCTCCTAAAATATTATCTGAGCTCCTGGAAGCCAAATAATTAAGATTGTCTCAAATGTGGTAATAAAATAAAGGAGCACAGTTTTAAGTGAAATGTTGTTGCTTTTCTCTTTAACCCTTGGCATCTCAGGAGTCTGACTATAGCTATTTTTGTCTTTTTTTAGTGCCTTGTTTCTGAGTCTCTTACTAATATGTAAATATTTTAGATTCATGCCAAATATATAAAGGCAGACTATAATAATACAAATAAAAGTATAAATATTAACCTAGAACATTAAAAAAGTAAACTTCATAAAGCTATCTTAATAGCAGATGATAAGGTACAGAGAATCTCTGCCCACCCCCCCCGCACCCCCCGCCCCCCAACAAACTAACAACGTAAAGATACAACATTCTTATCTGGCAAAGCAATTAAAAAAGTTTATGCAAGAGCACATAAGCAAATGTGAACAAATATTAATTCTTAGGTTTAAAACCTTTTAAAGCATCTCAATACACAGTTGTCAAGATTTTGCTATTTTGAAGGTGTTGTGCCAGAAAGATAAGTCAAAGGGACGGGGGATATGTAAGAAAAATGCATAGCTAATCACACCACAGGCCAGAATATAATAAACACTGCAAGCAAAATACAACAGGTAGGAAGGGTTCAAAGAAAGAAGGCATCACACTAGCAGGAAGAATCAGGAAATCTCATGGAGGATATGCTGTCCTAGATGGGTCTGGAAGGGTGGGCAGGATTTGGAAGACAGAGACATAGGGTATGACTTTTCTTTTTCCACTATGATTCTTCAGGTTTAGGCTCTCAGCCTATTTCATCAGATAGCACGTTTTTGCTGATTTCTCTTGCATTTCTGACTTTCTGTATCAATCCTCCACTACATAGCCTCACTGAGAAACAATCATACCAAATTAATCACTGTCTCCTGAGTAAACCAAACATTTTAAAAAATCCCTTTGCCTCTCTCTCTGCTTGCTCACGGCTGTCTTCTCTTCCCTTAAGCGGGTTGCAAACGAATAGAGTACAGTAGGCTTACTTCATTTTCAGTGTCTTTCTTGACTCCCCACCCCATGAATAAGTGCATTATCTCATAGGGATTTCCCAAACTCTTTACATGGTGTTTGATTACTGTTTCTTATATTGTATCACCTCATTTATAAGCTTGTTCCCCCAAACAAACGATGAGACTCCTGAGGGCATGGGCGATGATAAAAATCTCTGCATCCTCAGTCCCGGTGTCTCTCCCATGCTAACTATCCACCGTCCACACATATATACACATATATACCCTGGTGAAATCAGTTCTTGATGGAAGAACAGTAGGCGCAAATAGAACCAGGGCTTGTACAGCAAGGTTCACATACGTAGCCGTTGATACTGAAGAACAAACTCGGGCCTCTGGGGGTTCACCTCTTCCTCTGGCTGTGGACTAATAACAGGAGCACACGGGAGGTTAAGGGCATGCCACCTGGAAGCCCACGTCGCCGCCAGTAGCAGCGACCGTAATTTACTGGTCTATAATCCTCCATGCGTTTCAACGTGCTTTCCCGGCCATCATGTAAACGTTTCTCTTCGGTGGCCTAAAGTGGCCCTTCATTCTCTTCCAGAACCAGGGAAACACCTCCCTTTCTTTCAGATTGGGAGAAAAAACCCAGGGACTTTCCTGGGGCTGGGAGCGGGGATTCCCTCTCCGAGAACGTGCATTTTTCGCTCCGCCTACCCGAGCTGCAGGCGACCAAGGCGAAGGAGCTTGGGGCACCTTGGAACGCTCCAAGCACCCTGGGTCCCCCTCCTCCCAGAGAAGGGTCTGGAGCCCGGGAATCCGCTAATTAAGCTCGCCCCCATTGGTTGTCCCCAAGGCACCTCCATGCCGTCACTGTGTTATGCTAATGAGGGGGAGTCTCATTGGCTCGGCCTCCGGTGGCCGCGCCGAAGGGCTCCTGCGGGGAGAGCCGGGTGGGCTGCGTCTGGGACCAAAGCCCACGGGACCCTCGCGCCGCCCCGGGCTGTGCCGGGCGCAGGCCCGCCGGGGGAGCTGCTGCGGAGGCCGCTCTCGGAGGAGGATCTTTACCTGCCTTTCAGGAAAGTGCTTCCCCAGCTCGCCGCGCACACTCCCACCCCTCTCCCCTCTTTCTAGGCACCGCGCGGCTTTTTTCGGCGAAGTAACTTTTGCATTCCCGCCTCCCCCGAGTCCTGGGGACCAGAGGCGGTGCCGAGCCTGGGGGCGGTTCCTTGGCAGCGTTGATTCTTGTCAGAGCCAGACTTTTGCTCCTGGGCTTGCTTTGCATCCTCCCCATCACACCCTCAGGAGAGACGAGCCAGCCCCCTTTCAGCCGCAGCTTCCGGCTCAAAGCAGACCCCCTCCCCCCATCCCAGGCCCGGTCCCCTTCTCCTGTCCCTCTGTCGGCCACAGCATTTTTCTTAGTCCTCGCCCTCTACTCCGCAATATTTTCTTTCTTTCTCCTTCCTCCCCTCCATTTGTTGTTTTATGTTTCCCACTCTTTGAGGAAGGATGGTTGATTTGGAGAGCGAAGTCCCCCCTCTGCCTCCCAGGTACAGGTTTCGCGATTTGCTGCTAGGGGACCAAGGATGGCAAAACGACGACAGGTGAGTGGTGTGGTGCAGTGCTGTTCCGTGAATACAGCTGACAAGGAGACAGAGATGGAGAGGCTCAACAGGGGAAAGGAGGGAGAGGAGGAAAAGGGAGCCAGAGACTGGGGGAGGGAGTAAAAGGGACTCTTGGGTATGTCTCTCCATTTTGACTCTATACAGCAATTGCCATAGACAAGGAACTCTTTTCCTTTTTCACTTTCTTATTCTTGCAGTGCATTTATTTGGTGCTTATTCTTTTGTCTCTATGTGCTTTCCTAGGATGTGTGTAAGGCTGGTATGAGAAGTGCAATATGTCCAAATGGCACGCAATATCAGGGCCAAAGAATTTTCATTTTTCTCCCCTTAAGCGTTGTTCATCAAATTAAAAAATGTATCCAAGTTGGTTGAAAAAGCACATTAGAAACTTAAAATCTCCTGCACCTGTTTACTAGCTCCTTGTCAGTGTTGTCTTGGTCGGTGTCCACCTGCCACTGGGGATTTTATGCTCTTTAAACATTTGGAGTTGCAGGTAGACAATTGGTTTATATATGTAACAGGTAGTTAGTGAAAAAACGTTTGCAACTGAAAGTACTCACTTTGAACAGGTCAGTGTGACTCCTATTAATAATGGTGTTTGTATAGCATGATCACACCTTTTCACGATTAATGTATTTTTAACCTAAATAGTATATATGTCACAAAATTAAAACTGTTTCAACTAGAATATTTATCATTAGCAGAATATTGCTCATGTGTTTTATCTATAGCATCACTGCTTTGCCTAAACTTTTGAAATTCCTCCGGCTATCTCTGTCTCATTATTTAAAAAGCACTTTTTATGTTTCATTGAATTTGGTATTTTCTGGAATAGTCATTTCATGTATCACATGCCACACTTCCTTGTTTTTAAATGATATATGCATAATAACTAGGCTCTCAACTCAATTGAAATGTTTCCTTGAAGTTCAGTTTGTTATTGATGCTGTATTTTAATACGTAAAAGATCCATTATTGGTCCGATTCAAAATCTCCTCCCCGGTCACCACTGAGCAATACCTTCCTTCTTTTCTTCACCATCTCAGCGCCCAATACCAACTCCTATCCTTACACAGAGGGGATTTTGTCTTGGGCATCGAGTATAGACTTTTTTGGTCTCATATTAGTAATTTAAAGGGACACGGATGTTTCATAAAGGGTAATATTTCAATCCGATCTCTTCTTTTTAGGGAAAAACATTTATATTGGTTAAAAGTTAAAAGAATAAATACCAATTTACCAGTATGCATGGAGAGTAAGGTGTTCTGGTTGACTGAAGATAAAGAAAAGACTATTTAAACAAATTTGCAGTGCTAGTTGACATTTAGATAAACTGTATCAGCCTAGTTAAATGATTAATCCAGTGAAGCGCATCTTCGTAGTGATTGAGTCTATATTGTTACTTCGGGACCTCAGGATCATCATGGAGAATAGAAATACTCATTGTAGAAAGCATGAGGCAGGCTGACTACATAGTAGCATTGTTTGTTTGTTTTTAATATTCTATCCAAGATATGAATGTGGTTGCCCTCATTTTCCTAAGGATGCTGCAGATATATTTCAGGAATTAAGAATTTTGGTTAGTCGAATGCTCTCTAAATAAGTCACTGCTATATTAAAAGAAAGTTTTGTACATTTATTTAAAATATCTATTATGATAAAAATTTATGCTAGTACAACTTGAACTTAAAAATTAGGCATTATTGGGCTGGCCCAGTGGCACAGCAGTTAAGTTTGCACATTCCACTTCGGTGGCCCAGGGTTCGCTCGCTGGTTCAGATCCTGGGTGTGGACCTATGCGCCGCTTGTCAAGCCATGCTGTGGTAGGCATCCCACATATAAAGTAGAGGAAGATGGGCATGGATGTTAGCTCAGCGCAGTCTTCCTCAGCAAAAATGAGGATTGGCAGCAGATGTTAGCTCAGGGCTAACCTTCCTCAAAAAAAAAAAAAAATAATAGGCATTATTTACTATTAAAATGAGGCATTAAACATTTCAAAAATTGTTCATCCATTTTTAAAGATTTGACTAATTTTGTGGCTTCATGAAAACTTAATATTTAGTTTTGGTTCCCCATCTTTGAAGATAGGATCCTTTGATTAACAGGGACGCAGGCTTCAATCCTTTGCTCATTTATTCACTAGCTGAGTGGCCTTGGGCAAGTTATTCAGCCATTATGAGATTCAATAATGTTGCTTCTGTAAGGTACAAGACTAACACTTAGTTGGCACTAAGCACTGGCTAGTGCTATATGTTAACTGTGCTATATGTTACATATATATGTGTGTGTGTATGTGTATATAGATATATAAACAAATATATTAACCTTTGCTATATGTTATCTCAGTCAATTCTCACACAATCCTTGAATAGTGGATAATTATTTTAAGGACTAGGAAACTAAGTTTCTGCGAAATTAAATACTTGTCATGGTAATATATTTTATAACTGTAAAGATGACACTTGGGCTCAGTTCTGTGTAACTCAAATTCCTCAAGAAACTCTGAGCTTCTTTCCACTCAATTTGCATTTATAAGGATAATTTATAGCATCTAGCATAGTTTAGGTGCTCAATAAATGTTGGTTCCCTTCTTCACTTCTGATTTGCAGTTTGAAATTCTTTTTAATTTTTCTTCAGAATCCTAAATTAACATGTAGTAAGTAAAGCTATCTCTTTGGTCTTTAATATGGTCACGAATTTCTCTTTGCAATTAAGTCTGAGTAGCAATCTCATTCTACTCGGTTATCTCCATGGTCTCATTTCCTAGAGTTGAGAAGGAAGCAGTCTTTCATATGGGAATAGGTAGACAGGTTCAACCGACAGATACACTTAGTGCTCTGCCTATATTCCCTAGGCTGTTTTCTATGAATACCTTTTGCCTGAGGTTTTCTGGTTTATTTTGTTTTTTCCCCTGACCTTAAGAGCACACCAGGCCCACTTGGAAAGCAAGCCAGAAGTGCCACTGAGTATAAAGGGATTCGTTAGATAAATACCTTAGCTCCTTGATTGGGAAAATTCTGAACCATGGTCTACACTGTCCAGTGGGATTGAGCTCCAGTTGCCCATAGTGGTAACTGACTTGATATTGCCAGCTTTATTGGCTTCCTTCCCCACCTCTGCCCTACTGGCATTTTCTGGATCATTTCCCAAATAAACTACTTATGCTGCAGTCCTCATCTCAAGGTCTGCTTCTAGGGGAATCTGAACCCGGATAGATATCTTCTTGCTGTAGGGTCACATCCTAGAGAAGATGAGGCAATTAGATGATGGGAAAGTAGACACTTTCTATGTTGCTCTTCATTTTAAGAATTTAAATTTAATCTTAGTAGGACAGGTTGACTGACGTGTGACAATGAGTGAGGCATAAGATTGATGTGCGAAGGGGTGTTGGTATAGAGAGAATATTGGTGGGCTTATTGGGATACAGGAAATGTCTGTGCCCCACCACAGATATCTTGTGAGCTAACCTTGGCTAGTTCAATTAAATTTATATTGTACCACCTTTTGGTAGGTACACACACACATATAACGTATGTGTAATATATCTGTGAATATATATATGATGTATATGCAATAGATCTGTATTCTATATGAAATATAGAATGCATAGATAATATGTGTATAATGTATATATCAATGCCATTCTTACATAATCACTTCTCCCTCATTTGCATTTTGATACCTTTTCTGAATATAACATAAGGGAACAGAGTTAGACACAGGAGTGCAGATAATTTAGCACATGAATGATACTAGTTCTGGGAGGGCATGAGATAAGTTTGAGAGTTGCTAAATGACAACACTGCTTATGCCTTAGGGATGTCTGTTATGTATATGATGCATGTTTATTTCTTTGCCGTCCTGAGTAAAACACAAAAATCCAGTTCAAATGCTTCGTCTAATATTTCTTTAATGGTCATTTATCCATTCAGCTAATATCTGAATGCATACTACATCCCAGGGCTCAATCAAGTTAGGTTTGGGGAAGAATATAGGAAAGAATGTTGGACAGTGCTTGGTCAGGAGGTGTTCATGGATACGATTAGAGGTGAACTTCACCCCAGAATACTGACAGTATTGTTTGTATTATGAGGATATCCTTGCAGAATTTCCATTTTAAGACTGTCAAGATTGTGCACCATTTGTAGGTAGGATATTCAATGTTTGCTTGCAAATCAAGTAGCTGAAGTCACTGTATTAGAGATGGCTCAAAGTATTCAATATATTTTGAATCTAATATTTAGAATACTTAGTATCTTCAAAGTTACTCTATGATTGAAACTAAAATGACCGGAGACTAAATTTAACTGGTTTTATATGGGAGCCATTCTGTAGTATGTAGAATTGTTGTAGTGTTAAAATCCATTGTTTTCTGTTTTAATATTTCTAAGATTCGTAAAACAATAAAGATATAGGATATTCTCCTGCAGTTAAAGGTTGGTAAATTTCAGGTTTTAAATGCCTTCAGCCAGTTGGAGCAGCCCTTCTCATCTTTCATCATGACTTAGTAATTTAAAAGTTTGGAAGACAATGCACTTGATGTTGGATAAATTATCACAACTGTGGATAAATTACTGTTAATGGACAATTCTCAGTGGCAGTCGTACAGGAGTAGGCTATTTATTTAATTAACACCATTCTATTTTCAAATATCTGATCAGTTTCATCTCCAGTAATTTTAAGTATTCTTTCATATTTTATAGGTGGCATTTAAAAGTAATACAAGCAAGTCGCCTAATGCATTGTAGTAATTGAAAACATAAAAGGGTTTGAACAAAGAGTACAGTTCAATCGATTAATAGTTTGAGTGTTTATAAAATGAGGAAAATGGGTAGCTTTTGGAGTATGCTTAGATGTCATACAATGCAAATATATTACTTTATATAATCTAATTAAATTGGGGGAATGGGTTTTAGATTGGCATATGGCATATTTATATAACTTACCAATTTTATCCCCCTTAATAAATTATATATTAT